TAGGATAGCAGGATGAGGATTTAAAGGATTGGGGATACCAGAAGAGTTTTGTGTTTTCTACGTTATGAGTAAGGTTTTGTAGGGAAGAGGCAATGGGAGAAGAGGGTTTTGTATTGATAGATGTGTAGGGTTATTCAGCACATATTAATTTTGAGAGAGGTATGGCCAATGCAAGCCTTCCCTGAGCTTTGCACATCATCAACCACATTAACGATTATATCCTCAAGCAGCACGACAACCGCAACCAGTCAACTCCCAAACAAAAAAACCCCCCAAGACGTATCCAAACCTACACCACCATCACCCTTACTCTTCTGCTTTTTTCCCGCCACCGTCGTCGTTACTACCCATCTCGATGCAGTTGATATTTCGCTCGGGATGTTCACGATCATGCAACACATAAGCGGGATACCTAACCCAAGGGGTTATGCGCCGTGACCCTGGACACATTGTCCGCCGTCAAGTCACCCCGCCAGCGTCGGGACATCGTTGGCAAGAAAGAGTGATGTTGCCTGCCCCCCCCCCCAATGTGGACTTCTCCACGGCTGCTGTTGGGAAATCGACGAATCCCCCACGAGCGAAGGTATTTCCACCTTTTACCCTCGTGCTCTGCCGCCGCGGCGTGGATCTCGGATGGTTGGTATGGTTCGGCCGTCATCGTGAAGACATACCTTTTGGTCTTTCTTTGGAGAGCAAACTGTCGGATGGATATGAGAGGGGAAAGAATAGTGAGGTGCCTTGGATTAGTACCTAAGTTCATGCGAGAGCTCCAGCTTGAAAGCAAAAGATAGGAAGAGAACCTTTACAGAGCCCCCTGCTTATTTACCCGATGCCCCCCCCAAAAGCCAAAGTCTAAAAGAGGTGGCTCTCCCGAGTATCTCTTTTGATTATCAAGCGTGGCAGGACATTTAATAGGCTTTAAAAAATAATTTAAGAGCCTCAAAAAATAGTTAAAAGACTTTACAAGATAGTTAAAAGACTTTACAAGATAGTTGAAAGGCCTTGAAAACAATTCAAAGGCCTCTAAAGATAGTTTAAAGGCTTGTTGATTTTCTCTCAAGGCCTTTTATTGCATTGTATGAAGGGCGAGTAAATAGGTGGAGAGGGAGCGCTGGTGAGATAAATAGGGGGCTCCGTAAGAGTTCTCTCAAAGTTAAGCCCATTTCAGTTTCGGAAGACGTAAGAACAAAGTTTTTGCACCAATGGCTAGCTATACACAACAGCTATGGACAGTTGTCATGGGTTATGGACAGTCGCCGGACAACCTGTGATGATCTTGGATGTGATCGCCAAAGATCAGAACGGCTTCATTGTAACCAGGCTTGGGATGCCCATGCAACAACACAAGACTTTATATTTGCCAATATGGGCACCTGACTGTTCGAAAAGACAAAGTTTCAACAATTTGTGCACGTGCAGGTAAACCGCATTATATATCAAGAGAGACATGTTGGCCCACCGACAAAGATTGGTTTCATGTATTTTATTTGTCACCCACGACACGACGTTTAAAGAAACAAAACACATTCTGGCAAACTCAACATATCTTACTCACCTGGAAGCTCATCCATCTTCTTAGAAATCACAGCCCTAAGCCAAATCCTCAAGTATGCCACAAGAGATCATCCCTGTGGTCCAGCATTACCCTGTGAAGTCGAGTGACCTTGAGGCGGTTGGGCCTCCGCAGCCAGCTCCGTAGTGCTGGGGCGGTGCCACCATGGGATAGCCCAGTTGTTAATTCTGTTGTTGTAGAGGACCTGGCGCAGCTCCGGTCATCACGGGGAAAGCTGCTGCATGGGGTTGTTGAGGTTGAGGGTTGTAAAACCCTCCCCCTTGCTGGCCAAAGTGTTGGAAACCGGCGTGCATGAAAGGCGCCGCCGACCCAGCCGGTGTGTTCACGTTGGGTGCCGTTCCCATCTGCCCAAACATGACATGCCCAGGCCCTTCTGCCGGCCTGCGGTTGTCTGAGTGGTTATGCTGTGATTGCAGGTGTATCGTCTCATCGGTGCGATATTCGTCGATACGGTAGCCCCATCTCTCGGCCTTTGCCGAGTCGGTCTCTGACTGGATGCTCCAGAGGTAGTGGTTGAACTCGTGGGACACCTCGGACACCCGCTCAAAATGCTCCCTCTCGAGTTTGATCCTGCCGCCACTGGAACGGTATCCCGCCAGCGCAACAGCGCTTTGGAACGCATTGCGGATTCGGCGACCGTTCCAAACCGGGCCGATTTTGGAGTCCTTCGCGTTCCGCTTGTCGAAATAGCTAAGAATATGTCAGCCTCGTCAAGAAGCAGAACACAGTTCCATAGCTGGGCCAGCTGTTCTAGTCTCTTCTCAGCTTCACGTGGGAGAAGTACCGAGATCGCCTATACATTTGTTAGCTCTCTGCTGGCTCTGCTCTATGAAACATGTACAACCGATACTGACCCCAGGTAATGGGGAGCAAAGGGCGATTGTCTGCTTCTGCAGCGCATTCTGATTCATGTTGGCAATCCCCAAATCGGGATGGTGGTCAAAACTTTCAACAACGGATCTCTTGGCTCTGGCATCGATGAAGAACGCAGCAAAATGCGATAAGTAATGTGAATTGCAGAATTCAGTGAATGGTTAGATAGTAGATGTAAAGAGGGTTGCTACCTACGGGCTGTTGATGCTTTTCCACCACCAGGCACCCCGTGTAGGAGAATGGTGACCCCCTCTCCTACGACCTCTTGATTACTTTTCATACCACAACCAAAATTGGCGAGGCGTGACACTTACCCTTGTCCCTTACAAGATCAAAATGCAGGCTGCGTGGTCCCTCGTGATCGGAATGCGACTCAATCAGAGACTGCACCAAACGTTTATGCCCATCGGGAAGCTGTAAATCGTCCCATGGCTCCGACCGCCTCCGCGTTTTGTTCATCATCTCCTCTCCGGCGTTGTCTTTGCCAATTTTGAGGCAGGCTACATGGCAAATGGTTCGTCAGTGGTAGTTCAGGGTAGGTACTGTATGTAAGCACACTGAAAGGAAAAGGAAAACGTGCCCCATTTTCTCGTACCGAAGACAAATGCAAACACTCTAGCTGGCAGAATCAGAAGATCATCCCCTTCGGTTGGATGGGAACGCTCCTTATCCCATCTTTGGCACTTGGCCCATTCTTCCTGGATCACCTGGTATCTCCTGCAGTGCCCGCTCAAAGTCGACCATAACCTCGCTACCAATCCACTCAGCATAACGCATAGCGTTCTCAGGCACGTCGGCATCCTTTTCATGGAGCTTGCCCCCGTTGGGTCTCAACATCTGATTGCGACCCCGGTGTTGCCATGTGGCTTGGCCGGGTACAATTGACAAAGATCTGCCCCCGCTCCACCAGACTTGATCGGTCGGTTATGTGATCCTTCTCGGCAGAGATTTATTTGCCAAAAGTGTAGGGCTCTAGCATCTCCTTGGACTTCAAGGCTTCAGCTTTACGTCGCCAAATTCAAAGAGGGCATGGAGGACTTTCCTAAGACGTTACGCCGATCAGAGTGCTATCGAGGCGTTCGAAACCACGTCCTGGGACGGTCTCGACAGCGAGGTCGCAAAGGCAATGAGGGCATTTCAAGCCCACCAGGACCGAAGGCGCAGTTGGCGAAACCCTTTTGAAGGCTGCCGATAAACCCGGTGGTATTGCCTCCCGCCGTATCGAATTCCTTGTCGGACTAGTGCCGAACGACAACTGTATTGGTGGGTGTTCTCGCGGGTGGCCTAAGACTGCTTTGTAATGTAAGGAATTATCTGTTCCTTGATGTCCAGAGTTCCTGCTTACGGCCAATGGCTGGACAGCGACTCGCAAGAAGGCGATCCGCATAAAGATATTGGAAATGCTAGACAGCTTGGGCAACACTGTCTCACATAGCAAGGCACAGATCAGACTGTATCGTGGCGATCCAGATCCAAGACACAAGGCAGAGGATCTTCACATGGCCGTTCTGGAATTTATTCACCATGCCATTTCCTACTTCGATCAGTCAAGTGCTTGTAAGTCTCTCCTTCTTCACTACAACCCCACAGGACCTAAAGCCAAGACCAAAAAACTGACACCCCAGTAGTTGAATCTCTCAAGGCCTTCTTTCAGCAGAGTGAATACGAATCGAAGCACAATGATGCCCTCGACAGGGTTAAGAAGGCTTCGGGAGCATTCGAGAGCAGTATATCAATCTGTTCCCAAACCCGCGTGGAGAAAATCTACAAAAACAGCGAAACTCAAAATTGGCCAACGATTTCTTTATACTTTACCCTTGCAGGTGTTGCCAAGGATTTTACTGGTGAGTTTACCTTGACGTTGCAAGCATGACATGGATAGCGTACGGCTGACCTCGTCCTCCCTAAAGCCCACAGGTCAGAATCAGATCGGTATTCTCATGATCGAAGATGCATTCGTGACCTTGCTCAAGTCTTTCGAGTCGCAAGTTCTCATTCTCCACGACGAGCTGGCATTTGAGTGCAACTCTTCGCTCTCTACTCTCAGCTACCTCTGCGCCTTGATCACCGAGATGATGTCCTCGCCCGGTGTGTTCCCGCTCCGCTTTTTCTGCGGTCTTCACTGCCGAGAGGTCGATGCTCTTCAAGCTGGCTATGGCATCATGCGCAGTCTAGCGCTGGATCTTCTGCGACTGTTCGGAAATGCCAACATTGCCACGACTGGTGACCCGAATATGACTGCCCAAGGGCTCATGATGAACCATCTTCCTACGATCTTTTCTATTTTCAGCAGGCTCCTCCTACAGAATATACCCGCTGGAGAGCTGTCTATATCATGGTGGATGGCGCATGATGGCTGGTTTTTGAATACCTGAAAGAAGAGATAATCACATTGTCTTACACCTTCCCAATATCACAGGGACCTCGGTGACCACCTGTTCAATAACATTCAAAACAACAAAGTTGGAAAGCATCCACAAGGTAGCATTGATGACAACCCACAGATGCGTGGAGATAAAAAGAGAGGACCGACCGAACGTTCCAAAACCCCACAAAATGGAAGCCAAGGTAAAAAGCTTATCCGTACAGCGACAGGGGTGATACCCTTGCCATATCCCAATTTGGAAACCCAGGCGTTCAAGCGAGGAGCTGACAGGCGATCCATCGTTGGCCGAAGCTAAAAGCGCCATTGAAGAGAACTCCATCAGAATATTGATCTAGACCACCCCAGAACCAGGTTGTCGGGGTCATCGCGCATATGCAAAGGATTTGAAGTAAGATTGCGCTCAAGGGATCGGTGGCAATGGAAGCCTTAAAACATTGTGTCTCTTTGCTGTTCTTTTGTTCTTCTGCTTGATCTTCAGCTTTTCTCGAAGCCGTCCATTCGTTCTTTTGATCATATCATTCCAAGCCACTCCTTCAACATGCTGTCCAAGACCGGAAGTGGCGTCCTCCTCCTGCAAGCCGCATCCCTTCTCTCGGGCGCGGCAGCCCGTTGCCTCCGGACCTGCCCGGCCGATGACCCGCTTCTCAACCTCCTCCGTTCCGAGTTGGCCTCCTCCGACTTCTGCCGTGACTTCCTCGGCCTTCCTGTTTCCACGCTCGAAACAACCGTCACCCCAACCGTCGTAGCCACCGTGACCGAAACCAGCTACGTCACCGAGGTCGTCACCCAAGTCGACACGACCATCACCGTCACCCTCCCTGCCGACGAGTCTCCCAGCACCACCGTCACCGTCACCCCCGCAAAGCGTGACAATGCCTACCCAACCTGGCTCCCAACCAGCTACGGCGAAAAATACATCTCCCAAGCCTGCTCCTGCCTCAGCCTCCCCCCCGCCATCAGCACCGTAACCTCCACCGCCGATGCAGTCACCCTCACCGACGCAACCACCATCACCGAAACCATAACCGAAACAATCCACACCACCGCCATCGCCACCGAAACTGCCAAGCCCGCTCCCAAGCCAGTCAAGCGCATGATCAAAATCGAGGCTATCCGCAAAAACGCGGGTACCCCCCTAGGATGGATCTACAATAGCAACGGTCCCGCCATCACAAACAGCAACAATCAGCAGCCTACTTTATTCGAATTCAACCTCCTCGAGAACGAGACTGTCGGGTCCCAGCTGCGATTGAGCTCCTCGTTTGGCCCGCTTGGGTTTAACAAGGATAGCCATCCTAGTAATATCGTCGAGCTGGAAGATAATTATGGTTCTCTCAAGTTTGTCGCGCCTACTGAGCCGGGGGCGGTTCCTCAGACGGTGGATGCGGGGAAGAACAAGTACGCGAGTGATATTTGGAGCGTTGATACGGAGACGAGGGAGATTACCTGGCAGTGGGTTGCTACTAATGGAGGGAGTAAGTGTTCTTCCTGCTTTAACTGTTTGTATTAGGTGTGGTTTACTGACTGGAGATGTTGATTTAGTTCCCGATATCAAGCTGTACTACGTGTCTGGCCGTCTTTATCCTGTTGGTGATGTGGAGAGATTCATGTACGCTACTAGCAATGCTATTGGCGCGAGGGAGGAGGTCAGGTTGGTGTATACTTTGGTTGGGGAGTCTGTTTTGTAGATTTCTTTGGTTGAGGAATAGAGTTGGTTGTCTACTTTGTTTGGAGCAGCAAGTCATCGTCATTTTGCAATTGAATTGTCTTTTGTGATGCAGTGCCATTTAACCTAGGGCAGGGTTGAAAGGGTAGGTTGATTCTAGCTTGCTTTTACATGCAGGTTTTTTGTGAACATTTCTTTTGCACTGAACGATCTAGTCTCTTCTTCGCGAATATTTTCGACAAGCGTTGCTTGAATTTATAAATTGCTCCCAGTTCTTTTTTCTATGCCCCCGGGGGAGTATCGAGTCTTCATTCAGGCATCTAAACGATGCACCAGCAACAGAGAGCTCGGGATCCCATCAAACAACAGCTGGATTGCTTGTCTGGGGGATAGTTGGCCAAGGTTCCAACACACCAATCACAGTCCACCAATTCACACCAAACAAAACACCCCCTTTTTATTTCCCCAGGGGTGCTGGCTCTCTTTCTGGGATATGCGAACCGACATTTTGTCAAAGAAAAGGGAGCCAAAAAAAAAAAAACAGCAAAAAGCATGCAACACCGGACATTCCCCAATGGTATCGCCCACCTGGGTATTACTCCGGTGACTGAAAGCTGTTATTCACAAGTTTGATGACCGAAGTGGACTTTTCTTTTGGCTTGTTTTGAGTTGGCTAGTGCCCGCCACCTCGCACCACAGACACATAACGGACAAAGAATAAGAGACTGCAACGAAAAATCAAAGCCTGAAAGGATAGTTGAAATGCCTCTAATTGTCATTTTTCAAGGCCATTCGTCTATCTCTGCAAGGCCTCTTGACTATCTTTTAACGCCTGTTGATAATTTTTCAAGGCTTTTTTATTCTCTTCCAAGGCTTATGGCAGTCTCCCCATTTTCCTGTCCACGGCGTGTGAATGAAAAACGCAGCCATCACGCGTGTCCACAAACGCCTCACCTCCACTTGTCATGTCAAAAACCTTGAGCTTGTTTGCCGGCGCAGGCGGGCAGTGTGCAGTTATACATTTGCTGCCCCCCTCTCCCACGTTCCTCCATTTTTCTTTTTCCTCTCAACAGCAGATTCAAAAAGGTATGTACCGCCCTCTTCTAAAACGTGTTTTCGGAAAACTTAAAAAATAAAAATAAAAGAAATTTATAAAAAAAATATGTGTCTTCAGATATTTTGAGGTGGTTCTCCATCATGAAGAATGAAACCTCATTCTTTTCCTAGACGGATACTCTTGTCATCATCATTAAACACCTTACACCAATGACGGCTTCTGTTGGGATTGAGCTGCTTGATTTGAGGTTGAACGTGTCTATCAATCGTTCTGGGGACAGGATGGAACAGGTGGACGGTCACTCTGGGGGAGGGGGGGAAGGTGGAAAGGTGCGAGCGGGAGGGAAGTCACCGACGGGCGGGGGCATGACGGCTGGCGCTTACTCACTGCAAGCAAAGAGGAACTGAGGGATGAGAAGAAGTGATTTGACAGTGATGAGAACGGTAATGGGCATGCGGTTGAGACTTGTGGTGAATGATGTCAGGCTTGGACCTTGATGGAGTCCCCACGGGAGGGTTGCTGAATCTGAGTTGATCACTATCTGCTGTGGTTTGATGACATTGTGGATTAACTGTTCAATGTGCAATACCAAGATAATCTCTTCCAAAGTTGTTTCATGCAAATCAATATCAACCTGGTGAGCCGGTAGCGTTATAGATGGCTCCTGAGTTTGGTCGAGATGGGGATTTGGGCAAGGCAAGAGACGAGTCTTGAAAGATCCTATTCCCGGTATTGCAGAGGCCCTGTTGAAGGATCAGTCTAAACCTCGGACCTGCTTTTCTGATAGAATCCTGGAAAACAGTGGGTCTGCTTCGCTGGATGCGACCATACAATTACCTAACTGATAGCAGGGGCAATCAAACGCGCTGGAGAGAAAATGTTGATAAATAGGGGCTACACCCTCATCCTCATGTCTCATGACAACACAACATCACGTCGCCTAAATGCCCATCATGGTATCTACAGTCCTCTATCTCGCCTGCCTCTCAGCCCTCCAACTCCCACTTTCGTCCGCCCAAAAAATCACCACCACCACCACCGTCCCAATCCTAGACTGGGGCTTCGATTTCCCCGGCTCCGCCATCTCAGTGATCGGACAAACCTCCGGCTCAACAACCTACCGCCTGACATGCAACTCCCCCGGCGAGTGTCAATGGACTCAAGTCCCCGATAGGGCTTCTTACCTGAATAACATGGTAGGCACCATGACCTTCATCGAAGCCGGCGCGCCCTACAACGCAGCCATGACACTGAACATCAGCGCAAGAGGGATCGCATTCTCCTACCAGGCGACTTGCACGCCGAGAACAAAGCCCATCACTATTCAGACTACCGATTCTGAGGGGAGGTTTACTGATTTCCCTGTGAGGGCACCTAATCTGGTGGATTGCACATCAACTTCGATGGGGAAGGAGCCGACGCCAACGTTTGAGCTTGATGGGACGACAGGGGTGTATAAGATGGTTGTTATCACGCAGGGGGTGGAGAAATTAGATCTAGGCGCTGCGCCTACGGGGCTCATCACGACCGGTGGGGTGTACGACTCTCGGGATGAATGTGAGTACTTGATTTTACTTCAAAAAAGAACAGGGGAAGATGAGCTAATGCTTTTTGTCTACCAGCTTCTGGTTCATCTTCTTCGTCGTCGTTTTCATCTTCAACGGGCGCAACGGACGCTCCAGCGGCCAACACGCAAACTCCAGACTCTGCTGGGGGTAAGCTTGTCACTTCCAGCCTTAGGATGGCAGGTTTTGTTGTGCTCATGACAGCACTGTTTGCTTGATCATGATTTCAATCTGGTAGAGCTCTACCAAATCAACTGGGAGTAGCCGGACAATCGAGCCAAGTTCCTCACACCTTATTAGCCCATCATGTGTTTCGGCTTGTCTCTACCCAAACCTGTATCTAGCGATAGTCTGCTTTCCCATTGCGCTTATGCAGTCCCTGTGAAAGAAAAAAAAATAACTAAAGTAACAGTGCCAGAACTGACAACGTCAAATCCAAGTGCTGACATTGAAGAACGATGATTCAGGGGCAACCAAAAGTGGTCTCCAAAACGTCTTTTCACCCGTTGCTGTAAAAACATGATAGTAAAATATTTCCCTTTCCTTTTGGATACACTGCACAAAAAAGTTTTGACGGTTTTCAAAAGAAAATGAAAGTGAGATAGATGTAAGGACTAAAAAACAAGTCTAAAACATACAACACCAGGGATTCCCCAGTGGTCACCCACCTGAGTACTAGTCTGGCAGTCAGCTGTTTGACTAGGGGAGAGCGGACGGGATCCCGTATTTTCAGCTGCTTATGGTCGTATGTGTTTGTTTGAGTGGAAGAATGATATTATGAGGAAGGTTTGCTGGTGGAGGAGGCGAGTAGAAGTGTGAGGTGAGACTAGCGGGTGATGGGTGTGGTTAGATAGGGAGAGAAAGAGTAATAGTGAGAGTTGAATCAAGTGGGTACGAGTTTTACGATGGTTGGGCAGTAACGGTCGGGTGATGAGTTGGTGCTAGCACTGCTGGGTCGTGCCGTCTTCCTGTTCAAGTGAGGAGAAATCCCTCGTGTTTTTATCTAACTCCCTCCTTTTTCTCTCTCTCTTTTTTTTTTTTTTTTTTTTTTTTTTGGGATTTTTAAAAAATGTGTTGCGAAACTGTCAAGATCATTTTCAGTGAGATAACTATATAACTGTTGGGAACAAAAAAAGTTTTTTGGGTGGTGTGTTTACGATACAGCTGTTGTCGTCGGTGGAATAAGCTGTGCACAAATGCTAGTTGCCCCTTGTTACCAGCCCCTGGAATCGTTGCACAATGTCAACAATAACCACGTTGCTATAGCTCTTCAACAGCATCACAAAACTCATCACTTCCCTCAGATTCTTCTTCATCGTCTTTGTTAATACTTTCCAGCAGCTCATTAAACGCCTGACGAAGCTCCGCTGTCGACTCTCGCTGGTTGAATATTTCGATGGGCGTCTTCATCTTCTGACCGCCGTCCAGATCATCAGCAAGCCCCCGCATCTTGGCGTCTGTAAAGATTTTGAGCATCTCGACATCGGCAACTGCCGCCAAGTAGTGAAGAATACCCTTCCCGTCTCGGTTTTTATAGCGATAATCACTACCGCGCTCAAGTAGAATTCTGACGTTTTCGTGCCGCGAGTAGAAGACAGCATAGATGAGGGGTGTGTCACCATCCTTGTCAACATGATTGACATTAGCACCATGCTCGACGAGTAAAGTTACTGCATTTGGGCTCGTTCGCGAAGCGGCAAAACAGATAGGTGTCGCGCCTCTCCATGTCTCGCAATTGACATCAGCGCCATGTTGCCTGAGCAATGACACGATCCTACCGTCAACGGCATCCCCTATTGCGTTTACAGCACAAATGATTGGTGTTGTGCCGCGATCATCAATGACCGCGTTCACATCTGCACCGGCCTCAACAAGCAGTTTGGCTACTTCGTAGTGGCTGAACCAACATGCTTGAAATAGGGGTGGCGTCCCGTGTTTCTTTTTCAACGATACCGACGCGCCCGCCTTCAGGAGTTTCGAGGCGGCTTCTGTGTCTCCCTTAAATGCTGCCATATCAAGTGGGCTCCATGTGCTCTCCGGATCAACATGGTTCAAGTAAGAGAGGTACTCCGGCTTGCCGAGAGCTTCTCCAAGATTCGCATGTAGCACTCCGCTGACAATAAGGTGTAAAGGAGATAACTGAATACTTTCGAAGGCGGGTATCAACTCTATGAGCTCATGGGACCCAGGTCTGCCGGACAGGTGTATCTGAATCGCTTCGTATAGGACCTTGGGGTCCCTGTCAGCCTCAGCGAATGGGTCAGCCCCTGCTTGTAATAGAAGTCGAATCAATGGGATGTTGACCCTATAAAGGGCTGCGAGCAATGGGGTCTCGTCTGTACTGCCTCGAACGTCGTATACAGATGCACGCTTGTCTTGAAGTAATTGTCTGACCCCTTCGACATTCCGTCTTTCAATGCAACCAAAGATGTTTGTGGCCGTGCCCGGTGTTCCAGTTTCCAGACGGTTGAACATGCGGATGTTTAGCTCGGGTGTGCCATGCATATTGCTTGAAAAGAAGGCTGATATGCCTCCTCGGTATAGCCAGTTCGGGCAGTTGTAGTGTAGCATGACCTCTTTAGCCCGGGGCAAGTTTGTGTTGACACAAGCCTGAGACGTGCATTCTCCGCCGATAGAGCCACCAGACACTCTAACCACCAGGCCGAATAATGACAACTTCCAGGTGTTGTACTGTAGCGAATAGTTCGCTATTACGTGACATCGACAGGGACAATGGAAATCGCAGCGACGACGACGTTGACGGTGGCGGTTACATGGGGCCTGCGGATATGTGTTTCGTGCTTCGATACCTTCATTTTCCATAGCGCGATCGTTCGACTGTCGCAGGCTGGCAAGACAATCCTCCAATCTTGCCATCTGTCGAAGAATTGGATCTCTCACTTCGGACAGCATATTGGTTCTCAGTTCTTCGACCTTGGAGACCACCTCTGGCATTATCTCGCTCGCCAAAGCATGAGAAATGTGGGACTTGAGCTCAGCTGTCGACCGTTCAACCGCCGCGCCGATACCAAGAGACACCCGGCTTCAACAGCAACAATACAGTCAGCAGCGCTAACCTCACAGCCATAGTGAAGACACTCACATATTCTGCACAACCAACAATCGATAGATCGCTACCGTAGCGCTCTTCAAGCTCTTTCTCAAACCAGCTACCGTGGTACTTTGTCTCAACCAGGCCAACTTCCTCCTCTTCCCTAGATCTTCCGGCTTCCGCTCCCCGCTCTCCAGCCCGTCTCCATCGATAATATTCTCAATCACCTTCTCAATCCTCCCAATAACCACAGTCGAGTCTTCAAAGAGCCCGACCAGCGCCTCAGCAACAGACGCAAACGATGCTGACTTGAGAGCCTCCTCTGATAACCCAAGATACATCTCCCTCAGCCCCGCTTCTGTCTCCTCAAAAAATTGCTGCGAACGCCGGAGGTCATCAAGCAAGCGGTGGAGGCCTTCGGGTGCCCCGCGCCAGGTGTCGACGAGGGAGTAAACCGTGGATGAGGTGCGGACAACAATGGTTGAGACTCCGAGGATAGCCCCTAGGACCTCCATCGTGTGACCAGTCGAAGAACTGGAGTTGTAGAGATGCTCGGGCGAACAAAAAACGGCGTGCTACAGTCCACGTGTATTTCCCAGGGGCTGAACATTGTAACGGAGGCACGACGCCCTATCAGTGACCCCGCTTCGGCGGCAATGTCGCGACCACTCCGTTAATATCGAATAAATTGGCAAATGGTCGCAATTCATGCACGGGAGGGAGAGACATGAGCCCGTCGTAAAGTTGCAGAGCACGAGCGCAGCCTTGCTGCAGAAGGGTTGGCATGCGATAGAGACTATGTATGGCATCCCAAGACAAAGACCTTTTGAAGCCCTTGTATTCCATTCAGGATCCTGTGGGTAGTCGTCGTCGTCGTCATTACCGTCGAACACTCTGCCACTATCGTCCACCTCCGGGTTGCATCTCGTTCTTAAGAGTGGTTTTATACCTGGTGGCTGTGCCGGGGTACTTCCTTGGGTGTAATGGCGATGGTAGCGATCAGGGGTTGTAAGTAGTAATAGGGAGCTCAAGTGATGTAGACGCGGATCTATGGCACTTGATGAGTGACAGTCTACCAAGACTCCTCAAAAAACAAGAGGAAAAAGAGAAAGAGAGGCAAAAACATACAACACCAGGGATTCCCCAGTGGTCACCCACCTGAGTACTGATCTGGCCCTTTCAAGCTTATCTAGGGCAGAGCGGACGGGATGCCGAGTTTTCTTGAAGGTATGGTCGTATGTGATATCTTATGTCCAAAGTTGGGCTTATATAAATTGCCTTGAAGGAGGGAGGTTGAAAAGCTGCAGGTGCTATGTGAAAGAGGTATATATCGAAGGCCCCACCTGGGAGCAAAAATGGCATTTTTCAGCGGGGAGTTGTATTAGTTTTGATGAATAGCACGTAGTCAAAAAAGGGAACGAGAGATACTGCAGTAAAAACACACAGGTCTGAAAAGATGGTGTTGGGGTGGGATGTTGATCTAAACATGCAGTGGCTATTTGTAGAAGGGGGCAAAAGTAAGTGCCAAACGGGGACCAGATATTCGTGTTGTCCAGCCGTGATCTGGACCGACTCGATCTACCTTTGCAAGGTAGATATATCTCTTCGCCCCCTCCATCCCCACCCCCTCCATCCCCACCCCCTCCACACCCGCATGTGTATGAATCAAGCTATAGACCTTCGTCCCCCTCACCTTCTCATGAGTATAACCCAACAGATGAATGTGCGATTCAACATCCAAATGCTCCTGGAGCCAGAACCATCACTCCACTCATATGTCTTCCTCGTCAAGATGGAAGGAGGCCCTTTCTTGGCCGACTCTTTGGACATTTCGTCCCAAAAAGGCATTTCAAAACTCTCATCTTCCAACACGTTTCGAAGGGCACGTTCCAGACGAAGGATATAGGCGCGGTGCCAGAGGGGGGAAAGGACGTTGCCGTGCTGACAGTACCATGCTGGGATTCCGTGGTAGCTTGCGATTTGGGCGAAGGGGTCCGGATGACTTGATGGAAGCGCTTGGATTCTCTGAACTCCACGGACGAGGAGGTCGAGATCTTTGGGGCAAAGCTTGGTGACATCCTGCCGCAGATGGTGTTGAGAACCGCGAGTGATCTCTGAGGGTTGCGAGGAAGACATGGTGGCTAGCTGAGCTGAACGTTTATTGAGGGAATGATGGCCGTGAACTCGAATGCCTCTGGATGTCTGGAGAAGTTGCTCACATCTCCCTGCCTACTTATACGCCAAGATCACGATCCGTCAAAGACATATCGAAGTGCCGTTCCAAAACTTACCTCCTCCTCGCTGCCCACCTTACGACTCCATGATGCTATTCTTCACTCGAAGGTACCCACCACAAGGCTGATTCAATCTCAGCTGAAAGTCTAGAACTTTATGTAGTAAAAACTCTCCCCCCAAACGTGTGGATGTCGAGGAGCATGCATATAGTAGGAGAGGTGGAATCTTCCTGGTGATATTAGTGTTTGTCTGTTCAGAAGCTTACCAAGTGGGTAAACTTTGATACATCTCTGACTTGATCGCCGACACGACCATGGCAAATACATCCCCTTTCCTGCCAAAACCACGAAAACATATCGCCCTCTCAGATGAGAACATCCTACCAAATCCCATCCTCTATACATCGTCCATCATACACATCGCCAAACTCCCATTATATATCCCACAATGCGCAACCAAATTCCAGTATCCTGCAATCTCCCTTATTCACTCTTCCCAATATAGCCATCCTCTTACTCCCCCCTCCTCCCCCGTCTCGGCGCCTGAGGTGGCGCAGCACCAATCCTCTCCTCCCTCGTCCTCCCCCCCGTCCTCGTCTCCGGCGTCACCATCTCCTGCCCCTGCCCCCTCCCCCTCCCA